GGGGCGCTGGAGCCGGGCGGCTCCGTCCTACACGGAGCCCTGCTCCGAGGCTGCCAGCAGCCTCCAGGACCCACCTGTGCTGCACGAACTGCCGCCGAGGCTGGTGACAAGCAGCAGGCTTCTTAAAAGCCCCCCCCAAAAGTTGAGGGCGGGGACGACGTGGAAATCCCGCAGCAGCAAACAACAAACCAAAACCTAAACCGAACAACAAAAAAAAGCCCAAAAAAACCCCCTGCAGCTTAAATAAACTTTTTCGAAAACTGCGAGGAGTCCCCCCAGCCCAAGGCGACGTATAAACCCAAATCCCCAGGGAGCAGCCAGGTCTCATTCCACAAACCGAGGCAGGGGGAAAAGGGCATTTGTAAAGAGCGAGGTAGAAGTCGCGGTAACGGGATAGCAGGGAAAATATTTAAAAGCAGCACCTCTGCGCTACCAAAAAGCGGGCCCAGTCCCTCGCGTTCCCTAGAGCAGAGCTGCAGGGAGCTGGCGTCAGCGTCTGCGCGACAGGGACTCGTATCCTCAGAAGGCGAAGGAGCGAGCAGACGCTTGCAAACGAACGCAAAGCGACGCCTAGAACGGATTCCTCTCTGCAGCCGTACCCCAGGAAGGCCTGGCTATTTAGCAATAATCTCGGCTCCTGGCTGAACTCTCTGACCGGGAGCACAAGGGAACGCAGCGCCAGAAGCTACTGACTCAGCCTTTGAGAAGGTACACTGGGGAAAAAGCATCCATGGGAAAAACGAGAGCGGGGGTAACAGCCTTTGTATCTTACCGCTTATGGAAAAATAGTACAGTGGCAATCGATTAAAAAAAAAAAAAAAAACAAACCCAAAACCAGAACCAAAAAAAGCACACTTGTAGTCACCATCGAGCGGGAACGGCAGCGTTAACCCCCCCGAAGGCCGCTACGCTATCCCGCTACGCGCCAGTTACCGAACTAACGCCGAGCAAGGGATGCAAAGCTGCCAACGGAGGTCAGCAAGAGCGCGCTAGGAAACCCGCGCTGGCGAGAGCCCGAAAAACTCCAAAAGCTGGCGGAATTAGGCCCACGGCCAAAGGCCGCGCACGTGGGCATCAGAAGCGCCGCAAAGCCGTGGTCCCCGTCTCGGCTCTGGCTGTTCGAGATGACGCACCGGCTCACCGCGTCCCTCGGGCTATGCCGCTTGGCGGATCAAAGGTGACCAGACCTACCAAGCGGAGCCTTCGGAAGAGACTCGAGATGCGTCTATCGCTTCCATCGGCCGAACGTGAAACGCGTTATTGAAGAGGCTCGAGGTAAGACACGGTGAAGGGGTTCGGCAGCGAAGGTTTCGCTGATCCTCCGCCCTGCGTAACGGGGCTTTGCGCGTTTCGGCGGCGTTTATCCCGGGAGGTCTGGCGTGAAAGACAGCAGTTGCTATCGCTTCTTTTTTGTTTTGTTTTGTTTTTTTTTTTGCTCTCGAAACGACGGAAGAACCGGTGTCAAGTTTTAATTAACGAGTTACAGGGACAAAACTGAATACTTGGAAAATCCTCTACCATAAATCAGCTTTTCCAGGCTACTTTTCAAATCACTACTACGTCTTCCTGCCAAGGAAAACACTACCCCCGCCGGGGTGGGAACTGTCTTCTCGACTCCGTTCTGGGAGCAGAGATTTGGAAGGACAATAGTTTCCAGCTCCCTTAGATTAAAAAAAATAAAAGTTTCCACAGTCTCAGACATTCACAGAGCTCGTCCGCTCGCTCACGCGGACGTTTCTTTAGGAAATCCAGCCGCGTGCCAGTTGCTACCCGGGTTAGTTGTTAACTTTCCTTTCTTTTTGTCCGCTAGGCGCCCTCCCCCTCTACCCACAGATCGGATTTTACCCCGCGAACGCAAGATGGCCTCAAATCACTAGCGCATCCGTTCGCATAATCAGACATTCACAGAGCTCGTCCGCTCGCTCACGCGGACGTTTCTTTAGGAAATCCAGCCGCGTGCCAGTTGCTACCCGGGTTAGTTGTTAACTTTCCTTTCTTTTTGTCCGCTAGGCGCCCTCCCCCTCTACCCACAGATCGGATTTTACCCCGCGAACGCAAGATGGCCTCAAATCACTAGCGCATCCGTTCGCATAAAACGGACGCCAGAAAGCGCTGCTGCCGAAGGCCTCCCGACCGCCTTGCTGGCGGGAGCTCCGCGACCCGCCACCGACTCCTCCCCGCGCAGCCCCCGCCGCCCGCGGCGCTCTTGCCGCTGCCCTCCTCCGGCGCGGCGGCTCTCGCCCGGCGGCAGGAAAGGCGCCCGACCGGCGAACCCGAGCTATTTTCCCCGTAGCGCCGGCACGTTTCTCTCGGTGACGGGACGCAGCGCAGCCCTGGGGAAGCGGGAGCCGTCGGGCTTTCAGCTGGCCACGAAACGCTGCGCAGCGCAAGGCAGCACGGAGTCACCCAACACGCGGGGAACGCGGCGAAGCGCTCGCACTTCATCAGCGACGTCCCTCTTGCTCACCTTCTGCTCCCGGAAGCAGGTCATCGTCCTCGCGCCAGGGAGGACACGGGTCACGCCGTCAAGCGTCCGGAGGACGCTTCATAAAGCCCTTCGGCTCCTTTCTATTCCTTCCCCGCTCCCGCCTCACGAAGCGAGGGTGAGAGAAACCCAAGAAATTACCGATCGCCTTACTAGAAAGCGCACGTTAAACTCTAATCTAACACCTACAGATGGTACAGAAGGGAACAGCAGCGCGACGAACCCGACTGTTTCTTCAAGATGCTATCAAGCTCGAAGAGTATTCCCCAACTGCCAGCGTTACGATTGCTCGCAGGCTGCAAGGTTTTGTAGCCCTAAGCACTTCTCTTTTTCTTTTTTTTTTTTTAATTCAAGCTACAAACCCTTGCGAAAGCCGACAAGCTCTCCGAGGAAGTCTATTAAGGGAGGGGGCAAACAAAGCGCTTTCCAAAAACGCTCCGCTATGCGTTAGGCCCCAGCGGAACTGAACGGCAAGGGCGAGCTCTTCCAAGTCGAAAGCCCACGAAACGGGACGACCGGGGCGGTATCAAATCCTCGTTTCAATCGGTTGCTACGTAATCCCACAAAGCCAAATGACATCGAGGCCCGTCAGCGCACCAGGGAGCTCACAGCCAAGGCTCAGGCTGACGTAGGAGGGGACGGCAGACAGGCGGCCTCTGCTAGGTCAGCCTAGAGGCTGCCCACGGTGCAAGCTCTCGGGAAGGGCAGCTCCTAGCAAAAAACCCCGCTGCCCGGCAAGGCACCGGGAACAGCCTGTAAGGGGCGATTTAGTAACTTCAGCTTCTCGCCCTGCGAGGAATAAAACAGGCAAAGCACCGGGGCTGATTCTCTTGCGCCGTCAAGACGGCGCAGTGAAGCGACTCCACGGACGCCGTCTCCCCTTCGCCGCTCTACCACAAACGCTGTCGTCCTGCCTTCCCGTTCCTTCGCTCTCACCTAGTCTGACCCGCTTCCAAGAAGCCCTCAACCGGCAGCAGGACTCAAAACAAGGCCCGTTCTTTAACATTCGGTCTCGCCCGTTATCCAGCGTATTGGAACACCGCAGTACCTATAGCCGAAGGGAGATATAAATCTCCTGGCTGCGACCCGGCAGTTTCAGCTCCGGGCAGCAGGCCACACAGAAATCCAAAGCTTCCTTTAGCTGCGCCGGGCTTCCTTCGCTCTGAATACCTGGAAGCGGCCAATGCCTACGTTTATTAACTCCTGAAAGCAGCTGCCTTCCTCCCACACCGCTAGTCTTAGCTCACCTGCTATTTTGATGTTAAGGTTCGCATCCAGCAGTAGATTTTCTGCCTTCAGATCTCTGTGGACTATGTTACGACAGTGACAGAAGTTGACAGCAGCCACTATTTGCTTGAACTTTCTCCGGGCTTCCTTCTCGGCCATGCGTCCGTGGGCCACCAGGTGATCTGCAAGGGACGAAGCGAAGAACAAGGCGGTTACTCACACAGGGAGCGCGAGCTGGGCGGGGGCTTCTCGCACGCTTGCGGCAAGCGACGCAGGGGAGGGAGACGGGGACCGACGCGGGCGCCAGCCCGTCGTCCGGGTTCCGGCTCCAGGCGGGGTCGCCGCTGAAGCTACAGGGAGAGGGACTCGGGCACGCCGCCGCCACGCCGGCCCTGGGCCGTCCCCAGGTGAGAGAGCCTTTGAGACTGTAAACTTCCCTCTGCGTCGAGGACAGCGGACGGGGCTGGCTGGAAAAGCAGAACCGCTTTGCGAAAAGCGTCAAGGTTTCAAAATCTTTTTCTACATCAAAATAAAACCGATACTTCTTCAGCCTTTTCCTCCAGTCAGATACCGAGCCTCACAGGACATTACCCGGACGGCGGGAGGCGCAGGCTCGCGGCCCCGCGCCATCCCTCCTTCCCCGCCCCGGTTTCCCCCAGGACATTTCTCTTTGGTCTACCGAGCCTCACCGAAGAGAGCTCTTGCCGAAACCGGTGAAGCCCCGGCTACAGCCAGCTCCTCAGCTTCAGCTTTCTAGCTGAAAGCCCACCAGCTGCAGAAAGTATCTAGCCTCGTCCCTCTCCGGAGGGAAAGCCGCTCGCGACCAGAGCGGAGCGAAACCCGGCTCCGGCAGCCCGCACGTCCGCCGCTGGCCCGGCCTACCAGCTCCCGGCGCTCCCAAAGCGTCGCGCTCCCCTTACGAATGCCGCGTCGCGGGACCAAAGCACAGCTTCGGGAGCAGTTTTACTTCGGCGACGCAGCAGAAGAAAGTCATCGCACGCACTTCAAAACACCCGCAGGGGTTCCTGACGCTCGTAACCGCTCTCGGGGCGCTCGCTGCCCTTGGGGGGCAAAAACACGCTCGCAAAATTCAACAGCGCACCTCGGTAGAAAAACGGAGCTTGGCTCTGCCGCCGAAGTCTGAGCGCTCTCAAGGATTTTGGTGAAAATCTGCACTGCCAACTCAAAGGCAGCGTTCCTTGCCAGCGAGGCTTTCCTTGGCAGCCAGCGCGGCGCAGACGGACAGGAAGGGTCTCTCCAAGAGCTCACAAAAGCAGGCATACAGCAGCAACCCGACTTACATCAGTCCGCTTAAGCCCCGAAAGCGCCGGACCTACAGAAGCCACTCGGCACGCTACCCTGCCAGCGGGGACGGGCGGGCGGGAGACAGGCGGTAGAAACGGCAGAGAAAGGAGGAGAAAAAGCATCTCCCGCCCCTGAAGCATCGGCAGAACAGGCAACAGAACTCTGCCAGGGAGAGGGTAAAAGCCGAAGCGAGCGGCAGCGGAACGATGAACCACGGTTATCACCCTTTCCTCACATCTCTCCGCCCTACAAGCCTTCTAGCTAGAACTGACGTAGCGCGGCAGGAAGGACGGGTAGGAGCAGCAGTTTGCAAGATGACGGAGCGGAGGACAGCGCTACAAAAAAAACCCGGGAGAGAGCTGGGAGGCGTCCTGGCGAGCCCCCGGTAGCCACGCACCCCGACCCACACGCGGGACCCGGCGGCTTCCCGAGTTCCCCCGGCGGGCGGGAAGGGCTGCGGAGAGGTTTGCACGAGCCCTCTGCCCTCCAGCGCGGGCCACCGAGCGGGTTAGCGGAGGCACTAGCAAGCCAGACCCCGGGGGGCCTATTATCTCCTTGCCCGTTACGAGAGGCTACCGCTTCTCCGCTGGGCCATCGAGTCGACCTGAAAAGCCTTCCGGCCAAAACCCGGCTGAAGCGGTCCGTTTCACTCCGTGCGCTCCGTTAAACCGGAGGGCTCGACAGAGAGACCTCTTCTCGTAAATAATAAAGAGAAATCGCTTCTGAAGGTTTCTCATCAGGGGGCTGTGTTTTCCCCAGTCGCCCATTAATGAAAACACCTGCAACATAACTGACTGGCAGTAAATACGAATTACCGAGATCCATCAAAGCAGTTCTGCTGGCTTCTGACTGCAGAGCAGCCTGCTGCTGCTCCGCATCCGACTCCTCGCGTGGCGCAACGGAGCAAAGTCGTTTTTCGGAGAACTCGTCCATTAAGTTTCACTCGTCGCCTGAACTCATTCCGCGAGCAAATCTGAACCGGGGCTGGGGAAGGAAATCCACCCCTGACTCCAGGACGACCCTCAAGTCGCTCGCTAGGAAAAGCGGAATTTACCGCCTCAAACGGCCCCGTCGGATTTCCTTAAGTCGCTTGCATGCTCGGAACTTTTTTACTCTAAAGAGCCGGGACACCGGCGAGCAGCGTCAAGCGAGGCCTGCTCCAGCTGAAGCATTCCCGCCGATCAACAGGGAGCAGCTCGGCTCCTCGGCCCGTCGAGGTCGGCCGCATCTTTTACCCCGCCTGAATTCGGGAGCGCGGCCCGCCGACGCAGCAAGCGCCCTTGAAACAAAGCGCAAGGCTCCAATCTCTCGTCGTTTTGGAAAGTATCTGAGAGGTTCTCCCGCAGGCCAGAAATGAAATCCAGCTGCTGCGGCAGGCCCGTCTCTACCAGGCTCTCCTAAGCGTACCGCTGCCCAAAGCGGGATCGCCCGTCCCCCGCGCAGGCAGCGAGACGTGCCCTTCGGTCCCCGGCCCTTCGCCGAGTCTCGCTCGCAGGGGCTGCCCTGCCGGAGGCCCGCTCACGCAGAAAACGCTGCTGCCCTTTTATCAGTCGCTCCCGCTTCGGCTGTGAAAAACCTCTTTTAAGGTCAGGCGTGAAATCTCGCTTTTCACGAAGGAACGCGAGCGGAGGCCGGTCCCCAGGCTCCGCACGTAGGCACGGCGCTCGGAGACCGCTGACATTTCTGCACAAGCTCCAGAGGGAGGACAGAAACAATGAAGCTACGGAATGCTTCGCATACCACCGAGGGCAACTGCACGCCAAAATTAACCGTCGCAAGCTTAGTCCGCATAAACCTCTCGGGCAACGGCGGTTACGGAGACGACCCGAACGGTCAGCTGGGAGCCGATCGCGAGCGCAGCAAGTCCAGAAGCACGGACTCGCCGCTGGGTCGCACCGACGTCGGTGCGCGCCTGGGGAGCCGGAGAGGCGCGCGGCCGTGCTCCTTGGCGCGTCTTCCAGAGAGGAAGGAACGCGCGGTTTCATTCCACAACCCTTGAAAACATCGGTCGCCGTTCTCGGTACTTACACGAAGCACCTGATGCTTCACGTACGTACGAGAGAGAGACAGGTATTCGTATATATAAAGTATTACGGATATATTCGCATATAACCCTACCCCGAAGAAAAAGCACCTCCTGGTTAAGAGGCCGGACTGACGCACAAGGTTCCGCTTGTCCCCTCTGGACAGGCTCCTCGCGCTTTCGAGTTGCCTTCTGTCTGGGAAGCAAACGCTGCTTGAGCTTCGCGTCTCCTCCGCGCGGTGGGCTACGTTCCGTTCGCAGGGCATTCGGCGAGCTCGCCATCTCAGGAGCAGCCTGGCCTCCTGGAGACCGGCACCACGTTGTGTTTTAACGCATCCGTCCGGTTCAGGCTCAGAAAGCGCGGGACGAGGAGGAGGAGGAGACGGAGAGAAGGGGCAGAGACAGCAGGCGTGCCAACCGCGCTAACCAGACGGTAGTTCTGCCAAGCTTTCTGAGAATTTTCGTTCATCGACCACGCACCCGTGTTCTTGTCAACGAGGGCTGCAGGTTACGTACAGCACCCGCCGTAAACAGCTGAAAGCAAACCAGACTTCTAGGCCACGTTCTGTTTGACCTGCAAAAAAGGCCACTCGAGGGACCGGGAGCAAAGAGCACCCTGCAGTTTAAAAAGGGGACGTTCATTTGTTCGTGACGTCGAACCGGCAACCCAACCACGCGCAAAGCAGGCGCGGGGACAGAAAGAACAATTTACGTTTTGCCGCTTAAGCCCAGGGCAAAAGCCAGCCTTCTCCCTCGTCCCCGTGCACCGCTATGCAAACACAGAGAACTACCAGAACGTTTCCAGTAACGGAGGAGTCAAAGACCCTTACGGCTCAGCTGAAGAAGCTATCAGCCCTTTTACTGGAAATTCAGATAAAGAGGTTTGTAAAGCTCCCCTAGGTGCTAACCCAGGAAAGCCTGCAGAGCTCAGAGCAACGAGGGACAAGACAGACAAGCGTCCAGCTCCGACTGACTCAAACCGTGGCCGTTTACAGAAAGCAGCCTCCTTTCAGCTAAAGATTCCGTCCCGTACTGCTGCCGATGCAGTCTTCGCAGCTGCGTGGCACAGCTTACACCTCGGGAAGTCTTTTTAAAGCATCAAGGGAAACAACTCAGACCCGGTCGCAACGCAGCCTCGCGGTTCACAGGAGCCTGCCGCTGTGTTTCGGGCTGCGCGAGGCGCTCGGCCTCACGCCGAGCCTGTAGCATCCAGAAAACGGGGGCTGTCGGCCCCCCGCCTTCCGCAGCTCAGCGCTACGCTTTTGCACGAAACCCTAGGTCAGGCAGGCGTCGAGGTAACCAAGAAAAAGCGCTCAAAGACTCGGCGCAGGCATGTGTAATCACCGGTGCCCGGGAACAGGCGCCGTGACAGCGACTGCGCCGTCCGTCCGCACGGAGCGGCCATCCCGGCGGTTCCCAGCGAGCCTGCCGCGCGAGGGATGGACGCCGCGCTGAAGCGACGCGCGGGCCGAGCTTTACCCTTCGCGCTCGGGAAGCCCCGGCTTCCATCCGTGAAGCCGGCCCGTGCCGAGACGCCTTCTCTCAACGGCGCGAGGACGTGGGATTCTCCAGCACCGCAGATGCTGACGCCTGGGAGGAAACCTTTCCAAAAGGGGTTGCTGCTTCCTCCCCGTAAATCGCTTCCGCCGTTCGGAGAGAGTCTCACCGGCTCCTCAGGAAACGCCGATCACAAAAAGCTGAGGCTTTCGTTTCCCCCTCTCTGCTCGAACGCCGAGGGCGCGCAGGGCCTCGGGCGGCCCCTGAAAACGCTGCCAGCAGGCGAGCGGGGCCACGGCCTCCCGGCTTCGGTCTGGAAAGGCGTCGGGGCTAC